GGAAATGCTAACTTACAATCAGTTTGTGCTAAAACAAAAAACTAGTTGACTAACTAATTCCTCTTACACTAGTAAATAATTTTCAACCCATTTTCTTCCTTTAAAAATACTGGAACTAACAGATGGCTTCTAAATATTTGCTGGTATTCCAAAGTCTTTACATTATCAAAAGCATGTCTATATAAATATGATACTGTAACTTTTGAAAAACAAGATCTACATGCACTCTATTCAAACAATCTGGATGCTAAGGATGTTTTGGAAATAATTTGAACAAACCCCAAACATCAGACTGGTGCTAGAATAAGCAGACCTGCCTTTTGTATATGTTTTGGGCATCTTCATGAACACACTCCAAACAGAACCCCTGCCCCCTTTTAACCGAGGAACAGTAATGAGCTAACTAGTACAAATACATTTTATCTCCTATCTTTATATAACTTTCCAATTGGTCATGCCATAAATTCTGTTGCTATCTTATTACATCTAAGAACATAATGAAATAGATCACAAAAAAATCCAAAAGACAAATACTAAAAACTTAAAAGAATATACACAAATCACATTGCAAATAGACTTTAAGATTTAAAAAAAGCATCCTAGTCCTAGAACATCTGGGCAGCAGGTGCCTCTGAGAACAAGCTCCACCCTTCAGGGATTCACTCTGAAAATCAAGATGGTTAAGTGTTCTCTCATTTCTTGAAAAGGCAGAAAGACAACTTCCATATCTTGAAAAACTGGACAAAACAACCTTGGCTTGCTTAAAGCAACTTCTATTAAGCAGACAAAGGAACCTACATAATTCAGTTCTCTTTTGGAAAGCAGCCTTGAAATACACCATATAGAGAGGACACACTTCACACTGCAAATGAGTCACACACTTGAGCATTCTGTATGAGACAGACAGAGAACAAGTATGACCAGATTTCCCTTGTGGTACACAGCAGGTATCAGGTGGAAACCTATCTCACCTTCTGTTTACTCCCTTACCCTGTGAGCAAATTACTGTACCCAATCACACACAATGTGCACCTATGCTTTTGCCACGCTTTGCCATCTTCCAAACTCACTGTGGTTCTTAGTTCTTTACTCATCTCTAGGCAGCCCTTCTTTTTTTTTTTTTTAGCCCCGCTTATGTACTCTTCTGCGGCTGCTACAGATATTTTCTATTCCTCAAAGTGTTGAGAGGGTGGAGTGGTTCCAGGTGACAGGTGCGGTGAAGGCTGCTGTGGGCAGACTGTTCTGGTCACTCACTCCTCTTCAAGGCTACCAAGTCTGTGCAAGTGAGTGAAGAAATTATTCTGCAAAAATGGGGTCTAGTTTTATAATCCTTAAAGTCTCTGTATGGCTGAAGACACATCTCCCCTCTTGAATCTTTTCATTTTCTACTCTCACCAAAATACCATTCATCAATCTAGCAGGCCAATCATTTCTGCTGAATCATCTTTCCTAATGTCTCCTACACTGATGCACGTCGCTTTATTTGTTACCTTTAATTACTATTTTACTCCAAGTCCACACCTTATAACTTACTTTCTTGTCTTTTCCTATCAATCAATCCTACACATAATCATAAGAAAGTTCTATTACTATGACTCAAAATAATACAATGTGTATAAACCAGATGAACATCAGGGCAGATGTAAGATCAGAGATCTATAAGAGTTAGAAAAGGTAAATGTCCATGGTTTGAATTTTAATAAAGCAGCTGGAAAAAATATGAACAGAAAATAAATTTACCAGTATCTCTCACTGATTTACTTTATAATATCCTAACTGAAAACTCATCAAAACTTGGTTGTTTTCTGCACTCGGTCTGAGCCAGAAGGCTGAGAATACACACACACTCTCACACCCCCCCACTCACTCACACACACACACACACACAAAAGCACGTGCACTCACACATAACCACACATACACAGGCCCACACACCTATCAATTTCTGTGTCCAGAGTTTTGCTGTTGTTAAAGGGGTTCTAAAGTTCACTATTTCTTTATGTTTAGTTCTTTAATGACTAGTGACACTGAGCACCTTTTGGTGTATTTATAAGTACATTACCTTCATTGGAGAAATTGCTATACAGCTCCTCTGTTCATTTTTAGATAATTATGTCCTTTAGCTGTTTAGCTGTTCATTAAACACTTCAGATATCAACTCATCAGCAAATATGTAATATGAATTTCCCTAGTGTTGTGGGTCACTCTTGACTGCAGAGCTAACATCCTTTAGTGTACATGTCGTTAGGGATGATGTAGTCTGGTCTACCTATTTATTGTTCTATTGCTTGTTCTTTTGCTGTCACATCCAAAAGAAAAAAGAAGGAACCCAGCATCAGAAATCTTCCTGCTTCTCCAGTTTCTAGATTTATACCTTTCATGGACTTGGGTTAACATAAGTGTCAGGCTTTATTCCCTTCTTGGGCATATCCAGCTTTTCTGGAACCATCTGTCAAGGCCAGCCTGGTCTACAGAGCGAGTGCCAGGATATGCTCCAAAGCTACACAGAGAAACCTTGTCCTAAAAAAAAAAAAAAAAAAAACCTAAAACCACTTCCACTGCTGTCCAAACCATCAAAGGGTATTAAACAGAGAACCTGCCTCCTGACTGCCTAAGGGTATTGGATGGAATCATGAATTGCAGCCATGTCTAACATATCTGCCAGAAATCTAAACAGATAAATTCAGAGGCCATTTGGCTGCTTTGGTCACAATGATAAATTCCTGAAGCCACTTGAGAAACCCTAGGTGAGACCCACAGATAAACCACTTAATGAATCCAGCCACACTGCTATTCCACAAAATGACTAGCAAATAAAATATTTATCTAAAGCCAGGCCTGGTGAAATGTTCAATCCGTGGGACTTATATTGTAGAAAGAGCGAACTGACTATTATAGATTGTCCTCTGATATCCAAATGTGTGCTGTGGCACATGCATGCCCATACAAACACTCAAACATAAAAAATAAATAAATGTGATCTTAAAGCATTTAAAGCCATTAAGTCGGAGGATGGTTCCAAAGACTACTGAAGCACAGTTAATCCATCTCACTCACTACTTCTTATCTGTAGTGTTTTATCCACCACTCATTGTATGCTCATTTTAAACCACCCAAGAGGTTAAGATTTACTCTGAAACAAGACAGAAATCTTTGATGCTAAATATTCTACATTATTCATCAAGTTCATGAATGATTTACAGTTAGAATGTCAGCATTCTAAATAATTTATGTATTTCTTAAGTAGATGGATTAAAATGAAATCTTACCAGAATAAAAGAAATACAGATTTTGTTTTTCTAATTTCTTCAATATTGAAAAAAATGGTAAACAGATACTGCAATTGCTTTCATGCTCACCCATGGAACACAATGCTAACATCTACTAGTGACTATTACTAAATTTACTGAGGACAGATTTTAATTCTTAATGCTACATTATGAAAAAAACTCAAGTAATGAAGACATTTAGGAGAAAAGCATTGAAACATAAAAATATTTATAATCTCAGGCCAGCAAAATGGCTCAGTGGGTAAAGACACATGACCCCCCCCCACACACACACCCAGCTGCCCAAGTACCTGGGAATCACATGGTGGAAGTGAGAACCAACTTCTGGCTTCTAGTTTCTAAACGCACACACACACAGCCCATATACACACATATGTAGCACAAGAAAGATAAAAGACCCAGAGACAGATACTGGGGTTCAAGCTGCAAGCTGAAGATCAGAGAAGTAAAATAGCCAGCCACTAGCTCTTACCTCTACCTCAGCTCAGATTAAAGGGGGCGATCCTCAGGCTGCTCCCGACTTCACTGCTCCTGAGATTCACTCAGACTGTTATGCTCTACTCAACATGGCTAGAGACTCTATGCCTTCCTATCTTCAGTGTGGCTGGAGAATGAATGTCAGTTCTGACACCCTGTTCTTGAATTAAATACCTCTCATGAGTCCTGAGACTAAAGGTATGTGAACCCTCGTGCTGAGATCATCTTTGTGTGAGCTTTTTCTCGTGTCTGTCAGTGTGACCTTGAATTAACAGAGATCTGTCTACCTCTACCTCCCAAGTGGTGGGATTAAAGATGTCTACCACCACCTGATCTCTATAGCTTGAGGCTGGCTTTGCTTTCTTAATCTTCAGATAAGCTTTATAAATCATAAATAATATATCACCACACATATACATAAGATACAGACAAATACACACATACACAAAAATAAAGGTGATTTTAAAAGTCACTACTTTAAATTAATTATAATCCCAAATTATTTATCATGACATCTAAAAAATGGGTTAATACTACTTAAAAATTTAAGATGTGTTTCTATTACATTTTATTTGCTTATAAATACCATGTCTGCTAATAAATATAATTATAAATGATTATAACTTTATTTGGAAAATTGCTATTCCTTAATACTTTGCAAAAGTAAAAAAGTATTTAAAGGTTGCTGAAAAAAATTTTACTGCATTTTTTCCATCAAAGAATTCATCGTGAGAACTTAAAAGTTTTCAAGTTCTCTAAACAAATGCATTATGATTTATATGTATTCTTTGCATTCTTTAAAGAAACAAATAATAATGAACCAAGTAGAAAAAATAAAGGAAATGAAACAAAACACACACTATGGTACAGTTTTATACTGAAGCTCCATGTTACTTAGACAGAAGCTCCATGTTACCTAGACACAGTTTTAATGAGGAAACCACTCAGAGTTAACACTCCCATTAGTCATTTAGCGTGCCGTGTCACAGTATATCTGACTCTGCATGTTTTTTGTTTTGTTTTGCTTTGATATCTGAAATGGTTACCATGTATAGTATTTTGGAGGGTCTACAAATTTTGCTGTTAGTATAGTTCCGTAAGTAAGCTACAATTATAGCCCCTGTCATAGTCGTACTTAATATAGTCTATAACTTACAGACACATCGTTCATATTTATGAATTATGTCCCTCAATGTGATGAAAGTCTAGAAAAAAGAAGGAAAATGTACTTACAAAGTCAAAGTCTCCATCTTGAGGGACTCTCCAGTCATCAGGAAAAACCCTTTGTGACACAGGGCAGGACTCTCGCACACTCTGATTACAGTTTTCATGACTCTTGTTCTTGAAGCCCTGCTTATCAAAGTAGTCCATGAAAGACGGTCTTTGTCCTTGCGGTGACGTGGCATTTCCTTAAGCAAACAGATACAGTGTAAGCCTGACACTTAAAGATGGCAATATTAAAGGGGGAATTACTTTTAGTGAGCCATATAGTAAAACACAGTCAGTTCATAGAAGTGAAATGGATAAGTACCCAGGCCAAATAAACATGAGACAAATACATAAAGAGCTCAAATACTTTTGACTATAAAAAAACACTTCATTACTTTAATGGAATCTTTATCATAATTCTATTAAGAATAGTACCAGTGTCAAGGATAGTATATTTTAAACATTTCTGTTCTTTTATGTTTATGTCTGTTCTGATTATAATGGCAGACTTTAGGCTGTTGAGAAATTGGAGGGACTGATGACATTTTCCCTTCATCTGACTTGTAAGTCTTCTAGCTGGTTCCCCTGCTCCTTGGGCTCTTATGGCTTTGCCTGTCTTATTTATATTTTGGTCTCCTGAAGCCATTTCTTCGGCTCAAACTGTCTTAAGCTCCATTCCCAAGTTTACAGCTGCTTGTTATTATACCACTTAGTGGAGATGTATCTGAATTAGCAGTTAAGTTCTGAGGTGAAATGCAAGGTTGTTCCCAGCAAACCTGTGGCTCTTCCCCTCACTCCATCTCCGCCAAGGCCAATGTTATCCACTCAATCCTCACAGCAATAAGGTTGAGAATGAATTCAGACTCTCCTTTCCCCAAAACAGACCCAAAAGTGGATTAAACAGAAGTGTTTCAATGTCTAAGCAATTTTGGTTTTGGTTTTGCCTATGCCCTAAGAAAGGGGACCGATGGTACTGTGGCCTCCAAAGACTTGGTTTTGAGGAACCCGATGTTGCCTGTACTGTCAACACAATGACTTTCAAAATACAATCAAACCATGCCACTCTGCTACTCAGAATCTTTTGATGGCTTATTTTTTCTATTGAATGATTATAGTAAAAAATAAACATTTAAAATATTTTTTTTTTAAGTCTTGTGGTTAAGGTCTTGATCAGTAGTTTCCAAATTGGATTCCTTAAAGCCCCAGGGCTTTAAAAACTGTCCCAGAGACCACCAAGAAGGCATTCTCATTTAACTCTGCAGCTAGAAAGTGAGCTCCTTCCTTTTAAAGAAGTGTTTCCTGGAGGGGGTGGTGGGCAATGACAAGAGACTCAACTTGTCCTGTCACTTGTGCTCAGGCTCCAAGTAAGCTCCTTTCACATACTTGTCACTCAGATATAAGACAAAGGTGACTACTCCGTCTTTGCTGTATTCTCAGATGAAATAGTCCCAGTACTGTTCATGTTCCTCAGACTCTCACCGTCCTGTTTACTTCCCTATGGGGACACAGCAGACTTGCAATGCTGTGAGCTAAGACAATGGTCGTAACAGTGACCTGGCCAGCTTAGAATGCACTTGCAATAGTACATGCAGCTTTACAATGGCAGCTAAGGAACACCACTGGCCGAAGATGAGATATGGAACAAAAATGAGATTTTCAACAAAAGAATGCAATGCTAAAAGGTCCACTGTCAGTCTCCAACGGAGGATGAATCAGAGGCTACTTTCTGTCATAAATTCAAGAGTCAGGAATTTTTAACTTTAAAAAAAAAAGAGTAACAATGTCCAACTCCAATGTGATAGTTTTTGTTTTATCTTACTGTATTTTATTAGGTTTTATTATTATCCCTTAGAAGCCTGTTTGTTTTCTAAAGAGAGATAGAAAAGGAATGGATTTGAATGGGAGGGGAGGAGGGGAGGAAGCAGGAGGAGTAGAGGGAGGGAAACCATAATTAGGAAAAAAAATCCAATTTCAATAAAAGGGGAGAGAGTAGGTTAGAGAGCGGGAGCCATGACACAGGCATCCATCTTCTCCTTCCTGTCCCTACCCCATCAGTCCCTCTGTGTATTTATTTGGCACATTTGGACTGTAGATAAGTTTGCTCAGGTAAGAATATGAAACAGGAGTTACACTGCATGGATTTGTCTAAAATGTCTCATTACTTTTAAATGATATGATTTTCTCCTAACACTATACATTGTTTACTGGTTTCATACTGGGTAAGTAGATTATTTTAAATGGTAAACCACACATAGCATACTATTTACACCTCATTTCTAGTATACATCTAAAAAGCTAAAAGCAGGGTCATGTAGACATATTTGTATATGTTCATCCATGTTCACGGCCAAAAGTTGCATTTTAGACATGTGTTGACTCTGTAAGAGTTACTGGAAAACATTAATCTTTTGTGAAAAGAAAAAAGTCTTCAAAACTAAAAGTGGGATACTTCAGGAGGGTTTCCTTCCTCAGAAGAGTGGAGGAAGGGCCAAGTGAGAGCCAGCACTTTCTTCTGTACTGAGTCGGAGAACTACAAGTACACTCAAATATAAGCAGTGGAAAGAGAAAGGGTAAGGGCAGATGGGTCCCCAGGGCCCAATAACAAGAGGGGAGGGACTCCTCAGAACTGTCTGCAGCCACAGAACCACCATCCCTGTCAGGGGCTCTCCCGCCCCGCCCCGACAGCTTCTCTCTAGTCTGCAGCCCTTCCTTCCTGTCAGGATGGGACCTCTTCTGGCAGAGTGGCCAGGTGACATAATTCTGACATGAAATTATGAGTTTCCAAAACCTAGAGAGGTCACGCTGATGCCTGCATGGTGCCTTCACCCCTACGGTTTAGTCTCTTTGATGTGGCAAGGTACTCTACAGGCTATGGAAAGAGAAACCAACCCAGCCACAAAATCCTCAACCTGCCCTGCCTACAAGATGTGCTGGGGCAAAGGTGAACAGAACTGTGAGAGTGGTCAATTAATGTCTGGTTTACCTCGAGGCCCACGCCGCAAGAGGGAGCCCATGCTCTGGATAGCCAGGGACAGGACATTGGCTAGCCCAGAGACCCAGGGTAGCATGGAACATGATGGGAGGAGGAGGAGGAAGAAGAGGAGGAGGAAGAGAAAGAGGGAGAAGAGGAAGAGGAAGAAGAAGAGGAAGAAGAAGAAAAAAAAATCAACGATTCCTAATGATATTCTACTATATTCAAAGATGTGTGCCTTGTCTAGTTGTCTATCATCAGAGACGTGTCCTCTGGCAGCAGATGGCAGCGGGTGCAGAGACCCACGGTCAGGCATTATGAAAACAGAGTCTAAAATGGAGGTCTTCATTTGTGTCCCTCCCATCTGAGCTTGGGGAACCCTAAAGAAGAGCAGAGAAGAGTGTGAGAGTCAGAGGGGACAGAGGATGCCAGTAGAACACAACCCACAGAATCAACTAAGCAGGACTCACTCTTAGGGGCTCACAGAGACAGAGGCAGCAGTCATGATGGAGCCTGCATGAATCTGCCCTAGGTCTTCTGCATATGTGATGTGGTTGTGTATCTTGGGACTGTTGTGGGACTCCTAACAATGGGAGTGGGGACCTGCTCTTGGGACCCTTTTCCTCTTACTGGGTTGCCTAGTACATCTTGATGTGAATGTTTGTGCCTAGTCTTATTACATCTTGTAATGCGATGTTTGGTTGATATCCCTGGAGGAGGAGTGGATCTGAGGGAGAAGGGAGGTATGTGGGAGGGGCAGTGGGGGAGGAAGGAGTGGATGGAGGAGAGGCTATGATTAGGATGTATTGTATAGAAGAATAAATAAAAAATGAGACCAGTGGTGGTGGTGCGTGCCTTTAATCCCAGCACTTGGGATTAACAACAAACAACAAAACAAAACAAAAAAAACAAAAAAACAAAAACAACAACAACAAAAAAAAAAAAAAAAGGAAGGGAAAGAAACGAAAAAAAAAATGGCTGAACACTATTGTCCCTTAAAATTTCTATTTAGCTGAGGCCATAGAATTTCTGCAAGCTGAAATGCCATAACCAGTAGGGGACATGGGGCTAGAGAGATGGCTCAGTGATTAAGAGCATTTGCTGATACTGCATAGGAACATAGTCCCAGCACTTATATGGTGCCTCAACCATCAAACTCTAGTTCTGGAGTCTCCAGAGTCATCTACTGACCTCCTCACATAGTAGGCACAGACGGTACACATACAGACATGTGAGTAAAGTCAAACACAGACAAGAATAATTCTTAAAGAATAGAAATGATGCAGACAAAAACTTAAAAGACATTAAATGCACATATTAAATAAATGCTATCACCTATTCCTATTTAAAAAGGAGTGTGGACAATAATCCACTAAGTCAGAAATTTAGCATTCATATGGAGAGTTAGAAAATCTAAAAATCAAAAACAAAAGAAGGCAGCATGCTCCATTAGATTTTTCTTTTTGGATGACTTCATAACCAGATTTCTATTCAAATGCATGTGCTTGCATATCTAAATATTTTCTAGTCTTACTTTATAACTCACTATTGACATTTAGACTGTGCCTTGTGATACACATGCATACACACAAACATTATTTTTTTTAACTTTCTAAAGAGTAAAGTAAACTAAGTTTGTTTTGAAGTTAACGGGAGAGGCAGCTGCAACTGTCTAGTTACTATTTTACTGTACAATACGAAACACATGCCACAGTGTACAGCTGAGTCTCCAGGGGGCAAAGAGGATGATGTTTCTCACTTGCAACTGAGGGAGGAGTGGACATGAGAACTCTGGGACCTTCCAATGAGGATGAAGGAGGCAGTCATATGTGATTGTGGTTGCTATGGCAAGCGCAGTTTTACAACACTGTGAGAATAACAACAGAAACTGACATCAGGTTCTCCAGCTGCAGTTAAATTTCAACTCTAGCTTATTAAAATTCACTTTATTGTAATAATAAACTTAATATTTGAAATTACTTAGTTCCTCAACTTTGGCTCAATTCTTTCAACGCTCTTGCTTATATAACCAAAAACCCATTAGCAACAAAGGAAAAAATAACCGCCACTCATTTCCCTCTGTGCCTGTGAAACTTTAAACAGAAAGCTGTTTTCTATCTTAATCATTCCTTTAAACATTTACAAGGATACTAAATTATGTGGAAAATAATTTTGTAAAATATGTCAATCTACCATAATTATTCATTAATGGTCCTAGTTTGCATATGTCTTCTAAGAAAGCACATCTTCATGAAAAGATATATGAAATTTAAAAATAATTTAACAAAATGCAGTTTACTTGATTTTGTCATTTCTTAGAATGGTGTGACAAAGATACTCAAGTATAAAGAATGAAATAACAACTCATAGATGCAGCACAGTATATGTCAGCATCAAAGGTATTCATGGATATTAATTACCTCACTGTGTTTTTCCAAGTACTTTAAAATGTGGGTGCTTTATCTGATTAATAATTGCCAAGAATATAGTCAACACATACAGAATCAGGATGGCATAGAAACTACTAACACCATTTCCCCATAACTTTACCACAGTGTTTTTTAAAATAAAAGAGGACCCACCCAATGCAGGGAAGGTTCAGGGCCTAGTTATGAGGAAGGTGAGAAGTTCAGACAGAACAGCTGCTCAGAGGCCAGCAGGACCCAACTGTCCAGCAGAGGGTCTGGGAACAGTCAAGACGGACCCGGGTGTGCATGAGGCACTTGTGCAGAGAACCCTGGCCAGCTGTTTTCCATCTCCAATGAAGGCACAATAGGAGGAAACAAACTGAAGCCCAAGCTTTTGGTTAGATAAAAAGAATAGAGTAATAAACATGGCAATTGTGTGTCCATGGAAATCTTTCTTTGGAGGCTTTCAGCAGATACTCACTGCCCAGGGAAGACCAGCATTTCTGTGTTTAGCTTGTGCTTTGCAGCAGTAAAACAGATTCCATACAACCAAGATATACTGTCTAATAGTCTTGAGCTAGTTCATACTACATCAAAACACCCCCAGGCCCAGGGCACACAGTCAAGTAGAGCATGTTCAGTGCCCACAGGAAGCTTCAGACTACTGTAACCACACCATACACAGCTGGATACCTACCACCTTTAGAGTAAAATGAAGGGTTCCTAATAGCCCAGTAATATTCTGGGTATTTGCAATAAATTGCACAAGAGGGAGGGTTTATGTTGTCATATTTACTGCCATTTCTTGGCAAAATTGACCTTATAAGTTAAAGACACATATATTGTTTTGTTTGTTTGTTTTTCAAAGTTATTTTCTCCCTCCTCCTTGTCCTCCCTCCCTTCCCAGTCCTTCCTGAGTATCTGTGTATGCCACAATTGTACTTCTGGAGTCAAAGGTGGATGCCTTCTTTAAATCACTTTCCACCTTAATTTTGAAACTTGGGTTCTTTTATTATTTTTTTTTGTATTTATTTATTTTTGTTTTGTTTTGATATGTCAACCACAGTTTCCCTTCCCTCCTCTCCTCCCAGTCAATGGCCACTGTATATCAAGTTTCAGTGAGACTAGGCCCCTCCTCTCCTATTAAGGCTGGATGAGAAAACCTAGTAGGAGGAAAGAGTCCCAGAAACAGGCAGCAGAGTCAGAGACAGCTTCTGCTCCCACTGTTAGGAGTCCCACAAGAAGATCAAGCTACACAACTGTCACATATATACGCAGGGCATAAATTAGTCCCACTCAAGCTCCCTGGTTGTCAATTCAGTCTCTGTGAGCCCCTATGAGCCTGGGTTAGTTGATTAGAACTAGAGAGATGGCTCAGCCATTAAAGGGTAGGCTCACAACCAAAACAGAAGAGATAGGGTTTTTTTGAGTCTAAAGGTCAATAACAGGATAGAATGACTGATCAGCAATAGGATGCTCCTGTCTCCACCTCCCTCAAGCTAGGATTTTGGGTACACCATGGCCAGCTTTCAAAGTAGGTGTTAGGAATCAAAGTCAGGTCCTCAGGCTTGCAGAGCATGCTCTTTACTAAGCCACCTCCCCAGTCCTAGTTAATCACTTCTTAGTGATTCATTCCTTTGGCTCAAGACTTTGTAATTATGGGGGAAATCACTTCACAAGCATTAAATAGTGCTAGGTATTTATACCTTTGTATCTGATCCTTCTGTAAGACAGATATTTAAGAACTGGGGCAGAAGAGAAAGTGGATGCTCAGGCAGGCCACCTTTCACAGTGCTCCTGACGACAACAGAGTGTGCTGGGGTAGAGTCGGCTAATGCTCAGGCTTCCCTTCTTGGTCTTTCTTATAAACCTTTCTGAATCAATGTTATCTTTTCACAGGATGACCTTCCCCAAATGTAAAGCATAACTGCATATGCTTTCTTTCATTAATTAGATAAAACTGTGCATGAATGGATGTGGGTGTGGGAGAGTATATAAAATACATCTTTAAATATATATCACTTAAAATTATTTAACTCAGAATTTAGTAACTGATAAACAGTCATGAAATCTTAATGTAAATAAGTGCTATGAAATCTAAACTGATCAGATATTTCTCCACCTGTTCCTAATGCACAATCTAGTGCCTCTACTCGGTGAGTGCTGCGAGCTCTCGTTCTTGTCAAATATTCCAGCTATATGCTAAGCATAACAGTCCAGATGAGTCCCACCACCTGAGATACAGAGAAGCTATTATTTCCTCCTTCTAAAAAGGATTATGAGTCCTGACTGCATCTCAGGCATGCTTATAATAAGCATTGGTGGTTTTTGTTGTTTTCCTTTCTTTCTCTCCTTCCTTTATTTTTATTTTTTCCTTTTTTGTGTTAAACAGAAATGCCCAGGCCTTGCTTCATCCCATAGAAACAGCAGCATCTCTGAAGGGCAATTGCTATGGTGCACATTTGTGAGGTTGGGGGTTTGGACAAAGAGAAAAGGTTACCTTGAAAATCAACTTAACTGCTCCAATCCATGGATTCTATTTTGGGATTGTGTGTGTGTGTATTTGTGTGGCATTTGCAATTTTCATAAACTTCCATCTTAAAATTAAAAGCTACAGCTAACTAAAGATGTTGAGCAGGCCAAGGCTGAGGCCCAGGCTCTATAACACACAATAAGGAACCCCTGGATAAGAGGGAATTTATTCTTTAGCTCTGTGGTTGAGTGAAACTAAAAACCATTGCCATCAGCCTCTGGGGCTGTCAGACAAACACTGTATTTCCTAGGATTCCTTGCAACTAGAATTCTGTGAAACTGTATCATTTCACAAAAGGGCAAGTAAAAGAATAATCAGAGGCTCTATCCTTCAGCTAATTTTTTTCTAGCAAGCATGGTCCAGGGGCTCTCAGGGTCTTTACAGCCACATCCTGGCATCAAGTCACCAGCTTCACAGGTAATTAAAATGAATGCAATAGTGCACTAGTAAGCGTCCGTCTGTGTTAGTGGCAGCAGCAGCACGAGTCTGGAACATCAGTAGCACAGTTCCTACACAGGGGCACTCCCGGGTCTAGTCTTCTCTTCCAACCTGACCCTGGTTTTGGTAGCATCCACACTTTTTAAAGTGTCTAGACTTGGGGCTGGAGAGGAGGCCCAGCAGTTAGGAGCATGTGCTGCTTTTGCAGAAGGCATGGGTTCAGTTCCCAGCACCCACATGGAGGAGGCTCAGAACCAGCCATGACTTCAGTTCCAGGGATCAGACATCTTCTGACTTCTACAGGCATCTGCAGACACACAGTACACAAACACCCTCATAAATGATAAAATAAATCTTAAAATGTCTAGAGACACCTTCTATTTCTTCCAATACAGTGCAGTTGATTTAAACACATTGCGATATAATTCTCACCTTAAATTAACTCAACATAGCCCCAGCCAGGAGACACAACATCACCTGGGTACTCTCCTACCATTTCATCATCTCAACAGAAGTCTGTCAGTCTCTGGCTCTCTGTCACTTACAAACAGTGGTACGCAGTGGAATGTAACCCACATAGAAGGGAGAAATGCGGAAGAATAAGCAATAGCCACAGAGATGCCCTGTACTGCTTGCTGATTGTAGGTCTGACTGGGGCAGGCAGTCCACGAAAGGATTTACAACTTCTGTGTTCCTCACTGCAGAAGCAGCTGTAAGCACAAGGAACTGAGCCTTCTCTGTGAGCATCTCCTCCGAGTAAGCCTTCCTTCCTAGGGTTTCATCTCCAGCTTGCACTTCCGTCTCTTTGTTTAACTGATAATTTAGACAGTGCGCAATAATATTATGTTATATTTATTGGAACAAATTTTTAAGTTTTCTTTTTTAATTGGAAAAGTAAATGTTAGAAACACTATCCTCTCCTTAAAATATTTCACAAATTAAATTATGGGTTTGTAGCTTGTAACAGGAAAAAAAAGTTCCATAACTCTTAAGTTAAAGATATGTGTGTGTATACGTGTGTGTGTGTACATGTGTACACTTTAATATATACAATATATACATTAAAGCTTTTTTCAAGGCTGACTTTTGCAAGCTCAAAACCAAAATTTCCCATAACTTTCTAAAATGAAAACAGAACTTATCCTGATTTCACTGTGGGTACCCTTTCAAAAGAGACTAGCATCATTCGGTGAGAAGCAGTCACATACTTTTCATAGTTCCATCTTCCTCGTCCTCGTCCTCACTGTTTATGACCATGGTCCCCAGGTCCGACTCTAACACCGTGCTGCTATGTTCAATCATCGTCTGGGCCCCTTCGCTCATCGTACTGGTGGCCCGCATTGTACCCACACTCTCTGAACTAGTCTTCACCATAGTGTGGGAATCCAGCTCATCTTCATCCTGTAGGCAAAATACCATAGTGAACAAATGCCTCTCAAGATAGATGGGTCTCTTCACTCTGAGTAAGAACACACATATGCTATTTCTAATGACAAAGTGCCACTGCTATTATAATATGCAACAGTGCTAAAGGCAGGGATTCAATAGATACCGGCATACCAGTGTCCACAGCAGCATTATTTACAGCAGTTAAAAAGTAGGAAAAAAACCTAAGTATTTACCTTCAAATGAACGCAATGAGGAAGACGTGTTATATACATATAACAAGTATCATTCAGCCTTAAAAGGGACTGAAATTTCAACACACACTGTGCTGCAATATGGATAATCTTGTGTGTGAGAGAGAGAAAGAGAGAGAAGGCAAGCTGACTCGACTCTGTTTAGCTGATGAACCACTAAACTGGTCTCTACAGTAGCTATATCATTTTATATTACCAACAGCAGTGCCATGGGCTCTAATTTCTCTATTTCTTCATCAATATTTATTATTTTCAATTTTTAAAAATGGTTATATTAATGGATAGCAGTGATATTAAGCAATCATTCACATATTAACTAGCTCATTTGTAGATCTTCTTTGGAAAAGTGTTTACTGAAGCCCTTTGCCTCTTTCTTCTATGGATTTTGAGGCACAGTGTCACTGTGTAACCAGGCTAGACTTGAACTGGTAGTTCCTGGCCCCTCCCTACCTCCTAAGTGCTGGGATTACAGCTTTGTGCTGCCATGTCTAGCCTCCTTTGCACAGTTTGAATCAGACTGCTTGCTGTTGCAGAGCTGTCAACATTCTAGACTTATATGATTTACAAATATCATTTCTTTTCCTGCGAGTTGCCCTTTCACTCTCTAGATGGTACCTTTTGACATGCAATGTTTCCATCTTAAAGAAATCCAATTTAGCTTTATTCCTTTTCTGCTTTTGTTGTCCTATTCTAGCCAATAGCTTTCAGAGTTTCTCAGGAGAAGTAAGGCAGGCATGTAAGTGTGAAGGCACACACTTCATGCACAGATGCACATGCAGGCAAAATGCCCACCATCACAAAATATTTAAAACAGAAAACTTAAAAGTTAAAATACAGCTCTTGCACAGGTTTAAAAAATGCAGATGTGGAGAACAGAAACCCCAATATCGCATTCTCAACAAGTTGGGTGACCTGAAGTGACAGTAGACTCACAGCTGTTTAATACCCTCCTCTGCCCGAGCCTTACGGCTAAGTCTGGCCATTGTGTCTCAAGCCTGAGCTCTTCCTCACAGCCCCAGTACTCACTCTCATGCTTTCGCTGGCTGACACATCATTATTTACTACTCAGATGTCTAAAGACGTCTAAAACTTGGGATTTCCAAATCAGACATATTTGCATTTGTCTCGCTAGTGTTTCTACTGTCTCTTGTTTGTCCGAGACCCCAGCAACCCACACCACATAGCTCTCGATCTTCTCCAGGTACCCAGGAACAGCACTTGGATGCCGAATGTATTCATTCTTTCACTCTCTATAAGCAACCAGCAGTGCTTTAGGGAAAACCAAATTTCTCCCCATTGAAGCCTTTTTCCTGTGGCTACTGATCCTGCTGCCCATTTGCTACCTTGGTTAGCTCGTGCAACAACATCTCCTGATTGAAAGCTCTGACTTCCCAAAATGACACAGATGTTAGTTCAATTCCTGTCTCAAATGGCTTAGCAGGCAAAGATTCCCACAGACATTTAAACCCTGAACTCTAGTTTTTGTCACTGTAGCACTGGTGTTATGTTGACAAAATGAAGAAGTTGTGAAAGCTGCCTGCCTGCTACATGAAACAAGGGGATTTCTCTCTGTACTAGTCATGCTTGAATATTATTTGTACCATAATACTCTACCGATGGAACTTCAATGGGCCCTGGTTCTTGCCTGCATTTTAATCTGCCCTCTGCTCTTACCTTGCCATGACTATTTTGTCACTGTTCATATATCCTCCAACACAGGCAAGCCAATCTTACCTGAACGTTCACCATAATCCCCAGTGCTGCTTTGCTATTAACACTCCTACTCTGTTCGTGCCTTCCCTACACTCAACACCCTCCCTCCCCGGTGGTTTTGACAGGATCCGGATTCACCCTAGGAAACACACCTGTGAGAGATTATATTAGCTGAGTCTTTGGCCAGGCCTATGAGGGATGACTTTGATTAGATTAATTGGAGTGGGCCGCACCACTCTCTGGATGTGGAGCCTGGACTGCATATAAAGTTGGGAGCTGGCTGAGCACCAGCATCATTCTGTATGACCAGCTGCCTCAAGTTCCTGCTGCCTTGACCCCCAGTCTGGTGGACTATCCCTTGAATTCTAAGCTAAAATAACCCTGTCATTCCTTAAAGTACCTTTGCCAAAAATGGGAAAAGGAACTAATATATACATTCTCTATACATTTAACTAAGTTCAAGTTAATTTAACTACGTCCATAGTTAATCAGCTTTTCCTGTTTTATTTTCCAAACCAGTAATATTTATAACAGTCAGCACACATCTTTGCATGTAAACTAATGATGTCTTAATTTAAGCCCTTATCCCATAAAAGTTTGTACAAATAAAGGTGACTTATGGATAAGAATAGACAAGAAGGCTGTGTGCTGCTGAATTCATTTGTTTCACTTTGCATAAAAATGCAGGAGGAATTTAATATTTTCTGTTTCACAAAATTATAAAAATCAATGGATTTTACAATAAGAAAGAAAATATTTTAATCCCTAATTTTATATCTGAAAAAACAAAATCAAACCAAAAACAACTAGTTCCATTGAAAGGAAGATTTCCCCAAGTTTACACACCCATTTAATGCAGAACTAGAACTACGGAATGCATTCTACTTGAATGCTTAGGTCAGAGACACGGGCTTGCAATCATTAACAGTTTATTCATACAATTCCTTTGACAAATTACGTTTGTTTTGTCTGTATATGTGATTGCATGTGCACACGTCTATGTGTGCACACTCCCCTGTGTGTGTGTAAGTCAGAGGGCCACTTGCAGGATTTGGTTCCCTCCCTCTACTATATGGGTCCTGCTGAGGATCAAACTGAGGTCATCAGGCAAGTGCTCCCCTCACTGAGCTATCTCATCAACCTTATTTCCCAACCCTTACTCTCAGGATTCAACAAATTATCCCATTTACATTGGTCTGAACGGCATCTCCTCCTGAAACTACAGGTGTGGCCTCGTGTGTGCTGTTTCATTCTTGCCCTTTTCAGTCTCTCAAACAACTGGGAGACTGAGTCTTTCAAAAGATCCCATCTCACTATTACACTGCTGTAAACTGTCCATCTGACTTTTCTTATGAAATCTTTATCATGGTGAAATGCGATCTGGCCTTGTAACATGTGTCAGCTCCATCTTCTGTCACATTCCTTCTCGCTCACCACACTCCAGCCATGCTGGCTTCCTTTGCTGTTTCTCAAGAACTCTACAGATGTTGCTCTGTACGTCTTTAAGCTGGCTGAGCGTCCAGACTGGAATGCTCTTCTATAAGACAGTGCGATCATTTATTTCGCTGACGACTCCACTCAGATGTAACTTCTCAGAGAGGCTTTCTATGACACCAACTGAACTGACACTTCACCACTGTATAAGCTGACCCTCTGTTCTCCACAGGTGGTAACTGCTCTGCTACCACAATGCAAGTTTGAGGACAACAAGTCACGTTTTTTTCAACTTCCAAATCTTCGCTGTTATAATTATCTAACACTTAGTTGGAGCATGAGATTATTCACAAACAAAACCATTTATATTTCACTTACTAATTCATCCACGAGCACTTACTATACATCTGTAATGTTATCAAGTAGTTCAGCAGTATTGGAGATACAGAGATGAGTAAGACAGTTTTGTTTCATTTGCTTTTCTAAGGAAATGGGGAGAAATCTTCTGACACGTGAGCAATAAATTATGAGACAATCTCTTAAATGCTGTAAGAGAGTGCTGACAGTAAATGAGAACACAAGGGCAGGGCCTCTAAGTTTGCTTTAATAAGTGAAGAATATGCCTCGCAGAAGAAGCCATCCTGACATCAGATCTTTTCCCCCTAAAATATTAAACTTTTAACAACATACAGTAATTATACAGACTTACAGGACACAGCAGAATATTTTAATGCATATATGTAAAACACGTGATACCATCAGGGGTTTATTGCTTCCATTACTTAAGTGTTTGGGACTGCTGAGATTCTGTCTTCAATAAGTCTTAGAGGAGCAGAAGGTTATGAACAAACACAAATGTAAACGTGGGTGGAATGTTCTGTATTACACCTTTTCCCATGTGAGCTGCTCTTGGACATATCCTTTCTTGGCACACAAACTTCAGGACTGAATTTGGTACAACTTTTCCCAAGACACCTTGTTGCTATGCTGACTATACGCTTCCTATAACATGCTTTCACTGTCTGTATGCATGACTCACCTGAGTCCCCCATTACACTCTGAAATCTGAGAGCAGTGCTACAATGCAACAGTTACATTCTTGATGTCCAGTATAAAGCATTGTTCTTTAAATGTCACCAAATGAAATGCTAACACCCTCATTTGGAGACAATGACAAAGCATATAATTAGGGGACAATGCAACATAAAGTTATAGAGATACAAAATTTTATTTAAAATATCTTTGTGTGAATGGGTGAGTCTGCTCCAATGTTGTGAGCATGGGAAAGCTGTCCTCACTACTGAGTTAACAGATGAGGAAGATGGCAATAAGCAGACTGACTCATGCTTGAGTCTTTTATTATTTTTAGAAATCAGGGTTTATGCTTTGGTATGTCTCACTGAGAATATAGGAAGTTCCTTTCCATCAGCTTCATTTTAATGATAACATCTTGTCATCGTTGTCATTGTTACAACCAGATTATTCCCCAAACATTAAAACTATTCTAATGTGTTGAACCATTTGTCTCTTTTCTTCATGTCCAGCAATGTCGTGACCATTATGGTCAATGAGAACCGTAACTTCCTGTTGGTACAAAACAGGTTCCTACCCTCT